TTTCCACTCTGCACGGTTAAATACTGCATCTGAAGAGCTGATCCATTACCATTACAATGAGCATTTTGAAGGTCACACCAGTGTTTAGCTAAGATTGCATTTTGCAGAGAAAAGGGGTTTAGAGGAAGGTTGCATGAGTCTCCGGTTTGGCGGCACAGAGTAAAACACGCGGAGTAGAAATCCAGTGTTCACAGTCACTTTTCTTGAGAAAAACTGAGCTCTTTTGGGTGATAATTCCCAGTATCCAGATTAAAAAGAACTCACTTCTGAACACTATCACGCCTCTTACAGCTCAAAGTGCTCTTTGTGTTAATCAGCTAACTAATCCCACTTAAACTGCACAGTTTGAGACCCATTAATTACGCAATAGAGCGTGAGTCATGGCACACATAGCTCCCATATATCTTGATCCAGCACCTAATGGCACTCTATACACTATATACCTGTTTGTTTGTGTGAGTGTGAATATGATCAGTGATGTGCAACCAAGTGTGTGTGTGTGTGTGTGTGTGTGTGTGTGTTTGTCTTTAATACATTGTTGGTACCGAGATGTGATAGCCCACTCACAGCGTGGGGACTGAAAATAAAGTGGGGACCAAAATCCTGGACCCCACAAAAAGTAACCTATTATTCAGTGATAAAATGGTTAAAATAGTGCCCTGTCAAATTTTCAGGGTTCACCCCAGAATACACATTTACCGACATTTGTGTGCTAAAGTGTGTATGTGGGAGGTAACTCAGTACTGGCCCCTAGTGGTGAAAAGTGATACTGCAGCCATACACACTTGTACACACACTTGATTGAAATATGCTATGCAACAGCCCTCTGAGATTAAGCTAGCTTCTTTAACTTAAGATGACTATTCATTCCACTTGAATGAAAGGATATAGTAGAAGTTTTAAGTTATAGATCATGGGACAAGGTAAGGTAGAGCCATATTCATCTGTTGCTCGTGACTAACAGATTTATGACAAAGAAGTCAGCAACATAATGATAAAAACTGAAAAAATGCTTTTAGATCTTGCTTATTTATTTATTTATTTATTTCCCAAGGTAGCCTTTTTGAATCAATGGTAAACTGATTTGATTTAGCGTCAAAAGTTAGTTGTCCAGGTTTGAAGCATCATGGTTATATATAGCTTGTGAATGTGAACCTTTAGATTATAGAAATGCTCCAAGGGATTTCTCAAAACATTAGTCCCTGGCACCTAATATTAAGTGATTTGTGAGCACAAGCCTTCTTGTGGCTACTGCTTTTCTGAAGTCATCCACCAGAATATGGTGAATATGGTAAAAAACACTTTGGAGCATTTAAAAGAAGAGGCTGTAACAATAAAGTCAATCACATCAGAAGACAACCATATGTAAAATATTCTGCATTAGTTTTAATTATGAATTAATTTAGATTTTTTATATTGACCAGTTATTTGAAATGTAAAGTTAAACCACAATTTTTCATGATGCTATTTTTGTGATCAGACAAAATTGAACTGCAAATGTATGACAAATTTAATAAAGATTTTGTATTACCTCGCCTTAACTTAAAGTCTGGTTTTAGATTTAAACAGTTAATGTTGTTTAGCCTCTGTCTCACCTATTGGTGTCATGAGTTTGGCAGCTGCCACTTTGTCTAGGGGGTTAGCCATATATTCAGACTTACCAAAACAAGTAATAAAAAAAGGTGAGACAAACCCATATCTGAGATGGACATTTACACATATAAAGAGATTTGGTTGGTCTGGTAAACTGATGTTAATGCTCTCGCACATCATGAGTTAAAAACTTACAGCTCTTTGACTCTTAGAAACATTTGCTCAATAACATGATTTTGTACTGAGAATGACTTTTAGAAATGTAATTTATGGCATTACAATAGACTAATACTGAATAAATTATATTGGTACATTGTAAATAAAGACCTGATTTTTTTATATTCATCAGATATTTGTAATGCAAAACAATCTGTAAAAAAGCTAGCAGTGTAAATAGCCAGATAGCTGACTTGTCAGCTAATGTTAGCTGCTTCAGAATGTAGCAGGAACAACAGGCTGTTGCTTCTTGCTATCCTCTCCTCTCCTAAACACATAATTGTAGTGTTTTTGCTGCTGGGTGAACAATCTGTAGAACAGTAAGCAGTGTACATAGCCAGGTAGCTGACTTGTCAGCTAATGTAAGCTGCTTCAGAATGCAGCAGGAACAACAGGCTGCTGGTCCTGGCTATCCTTTCCTCTCCTCAACACACAACTGTAGTGTTTTTGATGTTGAGTGAACAATCTGTAAAACTGTTAGCAGTGTACATAGCCAGGTAGCTGACTTGTCAGCTAATGTTAGCTACTTCACAATGAAGCAGGAACAACAGTCTGCTGCTCCTGGCTATCCTCTCCTCTCCTCAACACACAACTGTAGTACTTTTGCTGTTGGGTGAACAATCTGTAAAACTGTTAGCAGTGTACATAGCCAGGTAGCTGACTTGTCAGCTAATGTTAGCTGCTACAGAAGGTAGCAGAAACAACAGTCTGCTGCTCCTGGCTATCCTCTCCTCTCCTCAACACACATTGTAGTGTTTTTGCTGCTGGGTGAACAATCTGTAAAAAAGTTAGCAGTGTCCATAAGCAGGTAGCCAAAGTGTCGGCTAATGTTAGCTGCCACAGAAGATAGCAGGAACAAAAGGCTGCTGCTCCTGGCTATCATTTCCTCTCCTCAGTACACAACAACTGTAGTGATTTGCTGCTGGGTGAACAATCTGTAAAACAGTTAGCAGTGTACATTGCCAGGTAGCTGACTTGTCAGCTAATGTAAGCTGCTACAGAAGGTAGTAGAAACAACAGTCTGCGGCTCCTGGCTATCCTCTCCTCTCCTCAACACACAACTGTAGTACTTTTGCTGTTGGGTGAACAATCTGTAAAACTGTTAGCAGTGTACATAGCCAGGTAGCTGACTTGTCAGCTAATGTTAGCTGCTACAGAAGGTAGCAGGAACATAAGGCTGCTGCTTCTGGCTATCCTCCCCTCTCCTCAACACACATTGTAGGGTTTTTGCTGCTGGGTGAACAATCTGTAAAAAAGTTAGCAGTGTTAATAAGCAGGTAGCCAAAGTGTCAGCTAATGTTAGCTGCTACAGAAGGTAGCAGGAACAAAAGGCTGCTGCTCCTGGCTATCATTTCCTCTCCTCAGTACACAACAACTGTAGTGATTTGCTGCTGGGTGAACAATCTTTTAAACAGTTAGCAGTGTACATAGCCAGGTAGCTGACTTGTCAGCTAATGTAAGCTGCTACAGAAGGTAGTAGAAACAACAGTCTGCTGCTCCTGGCTATCCTCTCCTCAACACACATTGTAGTGTTTTTGCTGCTGGGTGAACAATCTGTAAAAAAGTTAGCAGTGTACATAGCCAGGTAGCCAAAGTGTCGGCTAATGTTAGCTGCCACAGAAGATAGCAGGAACAACAGACTGCTGCTCCTGGCTATCCTCTCCTCTCCTCAATACACAACTGTAGTGTTTTTGCTGCCGTCATGATTGGATGTAACCTGCAGATGTTCCTGGGCTGCTTGTTACTTCTCCCTCTTAGGACACCTAGCCTCTGGTCCACTGCCAATACTAGCTATAAACTAGCTTCCCCTGACTGTATTACTCCTAAGCACTGCATCTGTTCATTAACCACCTCTGCCAAGGCTGTGTTGACAGTCTGAGAAAGGCTGATACAGTCCACAGATAATGTTGTGCAGAGGCTCTGCACATATTTTTCATACATACACCACTTCTCATCCACAAATTTTAACCCTTCACTATGGTCTTGCCACACTGCCTCATTGCATCATAACAACAAAGAACAGCATGTAGACCTGTCAAATCTCTGCTCTCTTCTCCAGTCTTCTGAGCAAATTCCAAAGCAACTGGTGTAAGTTAACACTCATTTTTCAATGGAATCTTTCCCTCCCTGAATAAATTCATCACCGATAACAAACTTTATCTCCTCTCAAACTCCTGCAACACAAACCTTCATACCATTTTCTTTCAAACTTTAAAGCTCTACCTTACTGGTTAATGCAGTTATTTAACTTAACACAAAATATCAACTTCCACACCCGCAGTTGTGAGCACATTCTGCTGGTTTGCTCTGGTCTCACCATTAAGCAAGTCTTGAGCCACAATCTCCATATTCGTGACCACCATCTAGCAACAATACTGAATATCCACATCAGCTTTCATGGTCAAAAAGAGAAATCAGCATTCAGGAACCTCAAGTTCATCCCTGTCTCAGCTCTTTCAGCCTCTCTCTCATCTGCATTATCCCCTAATAATGCTGTCATATCATCCAGAATTGCGTACTAAAGCATCTTGAACAGTTCATTACCCAAAGTCCTCAATAAACCCTGGTATATCCAGAACTCTGCTGCTCACCTTCTCACACACTCTTACTTCTGTTAGCAAATCTCCCTGTTACTCCAGAACCTCCACTAGTCTCCAATCCAAAGACTTTCTCACTGTACAGTCCCTCTCTTCACTCACAAAGCTCTCCATGATCAGGACCCTATCTTACTGATAAGGTCCTAATCCTGTTTTACTGACCTGCTCAACTCTCACACTCCTTTCTGACCTGTCTGCAGGACCAGTGGTGAAAGAGAGTGTGAGAGCCTCAACCTCCAACAGAAAACTGATCTGCCAAAATCCAATTCTCCTCTAAAACACATCTCTGGAATCACTGATGATGCCATTTTATCCAAGCTTTGTTTTTTTTTCTTCGTTTATAACATGAGTTTTTGTGACACTTATCTTTCGGTATTTTTTTAAAGTAACACAAGTAAAATGTACTGCAATAATAATACTAATAAAATGATAATAGAAGTAGTAGTGGTAACAGTAGAAGAATTGGGATTCTTGCAGTAAGAATGTTATTATTATTATTATTATTATTATTATTATTACCGTGATTATTGTTGTTTGAGATAGTACAGGCAGGCTGGGCAAGACAAAGTGATTAATTGTCAGAAACATGAAATCATCCTTTTAAATAAATAAGTTCCTATTTACTGAAATTGAAACTGATAAACACACACTTCTACAATAACAAAAGAAGCGGGCTGCCTTAATAACAAATGTCTGGCGGGCGGACACACAAATTCTGTGATTAAAGCAGCACCACCCGCACAGGATGTAACAGTTTTGCAAAGTAAGCGCTCCTTAGCTGATAGTTTGGAGAAGAGATAAGCACTTGACTACAAAAAGTGTATTTAAATTAGTAAATAAATACATTTATTGAAACTGGTAACTGATAAACACACACACTATTACTCTAACAAAGAGGAGTGGGCTGCTTTAAATTTTTATATTGACATGCCTGGCGGGCGGATATAGGAATCTATGGTTAAAGCAGCACCACCCGTTCAGGACGTGCTGACTATACAGAGTAAGCGCTCCTCAGCTGACGGTACGGGAGATGAGTGAGAAGCACTTGACTGCAGGGGAGACTTGAGCTGCAGCAGGAGAGGATTTAACTGAAAGGTAAGTGGGATTCTGATAAAATAATTAGGTAAGTGATTACTTTATAGTCAAAAAGTTACCCGGTGTTTTCACACATGGTATTATGTGGCATGCACACAGGAAGCTAGCTGCTAGCAAAGTTCGTTAGGCAGAACTAGCGGTCTCACGGTCGCATTGTGTTCTCTTGTAACTTTTTGTCAAAGTTTTTAACTTTAAAAAACACCGAAAATGTGACTTGATTTTGTTTAATTTTTATCTGAATCTTATTCTTTTACAACACGGTCATATTTGGGGAAATGTGCGTTATGTTGGGTGGGTGGGGTAGGGTGGGGGGGAGTGAGAGCAAAGCCGCCATCTTAGGCACGTGCGCTTTTAATTGAAGTAAATGACAGACCGTTCACAGTGAAGCAGCAGGAGCAAGTTCATCATTTTGTGTCAGACAACATGGTCACTACTCACTGGTTTGTCACATGGTTGTTAAAGTTTACAATGAATGTAATTTTAGTAACATTAAACATTATTGAGTAGTTATATGACACTGCAGACATGCACTGGGCCTGGCATGTTTGTCCATAGAGATAAAAAAAAATCAAAAACTTAAATTTTCCTTTATAGGATGTATACGCTGAGAAGCAGAAAAGTCCAAAAACAGGATGACTGGCCTAGGAGGAAAAAGGTTTGTCAAAGTCTTTGTTACTGACAAAAATTGAAGTACATTTTCAGAGCTTACTCAAGTTGTTCTGATGTAATGGGCTCCAGTTAGGTTGTGATTTTAGCAACCTAACAAACACACTTGTCATTCATCCTAATCTTAGAAGGGCAGACAATCAGCTGTGGCTGAAACATCTGAGGCTGAGATCTCCAGGACCACAGAGGAGCCTCCTGAGGGATCTACACTCAGAGAGATAGAGGTATTTATTCTAGCTGATCATCTTGTCTGGTCTTGAGGTGTTAAAGCTGCAGTTGTAAATACTCTGCTGATTGGTCAGGTCCTTATAATGTATCTGATTTTTTTATTTTGATGGTCAGTTAAGCTGTGTGTCTGCTTTAAGGCTCCCTTGGGTTGATTTTGAGTTGTGGGGTCCAGTCAGGTTGGTATTTAAGATGTCTGACAAACACACTTGTCAGGTTTACAGTGTTTGTGGGGTCCACGTAAAGTCAGATACACTGTTGACATTAATGGGAGATTAAATATCAAATGAAAAAAATACATCCTTTGCAGTTGATGTGTTCCTCACTGTGTAATGATCTAAGACCCTACCGGTCACTCCAGCTGTTTGACTAGGAGACTGAAGTCTCTGCCAGTCCTTTCTGGGCTCCATGATCCACATTTTGGTTAAAAGAAGACACCAAGCGACAGTAATAGTAGTTGGTACAGATGATTTTTTTTAGATTATGGGATTTAGCATGAGAGCTACAGCGAGTGGATTCATCAGGTTTAAGAATCATAATGTATTTAAAGTTGCCTGTATCTTTAATTGTGAAGAAATCAGAACAATAGTTTGTTTATTTACTATTCATCTCAAACTTGTTGTTTAGGACATGGAACCACCTACTGTGGCTGAAACATCTGAGGCTGAGATCTCCAGTACCGCAGAGGAGCCTCCTGAGGGATCTACACTCACAGAGATAGAGGTATTTATTCCAGCTGATCATTCTGTCTGCTCTTTAGTGTTAAATCTGCAGTTGTAAAAACTCTGCTGATTGGTCAGGTCCTTTAAATGTATCTGATTTTTTTATTTTGATGGTCAGTTAAGCTGTGTGTCTGCTTTAAGGCTCCCTTGGGTTGATTTTGAGTTGTGGGGTCCAGTCAGGTTGGTATTTAAGATGTCTGACAAACACACTTGTCAGGTTTACAGTGTTTGTGGGGTCCACGTAAAGTCAGATACACTGTTGACATTAATGAGAGATTAAATATCATATGAAAAAAATACATCCTTTGCAGTTGATGTGTTCCTCACTGTGTAATGATCTAAGACCTTAGCTGCCACTCCAGCTGTTTGACTAGGAGACCTAAGTCTCTTCAAGTCCTTTCTATTCTCTATAATCACTTTATGTTTTTAAGAAGACATCAGTTGACAAAAAATAGCAGTAAGTACAAATGGTTTTGTTTAGATGAGGTGATTTAGCATGAGCTGCAGTGAGTGGATTCATCAGGTTAATAGACTGTTATGTATATTTGAGGTGCCAGTGGCTTTAAATGTGCAGAAATTAGATCAGTAAATAGTTGGTTAATTTACTATTCATCTCAAACTTGTTGTTTAGGACATGGAACCACCTAATGTGGCTGAAACATCTGAGGCTGAGATCTCCAGTACCGCAGAGGAGCCTCCTGAGGGATCTACACTCAGAGAGATAGAGGTAATTATTCCAGCTGATCATCCTGTCTGCTCTTTAGTGTTAAATCTGCAGTTGTAAAAACTCTGCTGATTGGTCAGGTCCTTTAAATGTATCTGATTTTTTTATTTTGATGGTCAGTTAAGCTGTGTGTCTGCTTTAAGGCTCCCTCGGGTTGATTTTGTGTTAAGGGGTCCAGTCAGGTTGGTATTTAAGACGTCTAACAAACACACTTGTCAGGTTTACAGTGTTTGTGGGGTCCACGTAAAGTCAGATACACTGTTGACATTAATGGGAGATTAAATATCACATGAAAAAAATACATCCTTTGCAGTTGATGTGTTCCTCACTGTGTAATGATCTAAGAACCTACCGGTCACTCCAGCTGTTTGACTGGGAGACTTGAGTCTTTGCCAGTCCTCTCTGTTCACCATGGTCCAGTAAATGTTTAAAAGAAGACACCAGGTGTACAAAAATAGCAGTCAGTACAGAAAATATGTGTCCAGATTAACTCATTTAGCATGCGAGCTACAGTGAGTGTATTCGTCGGGTTTATGAAGGTAATGTATATTTATGTGCCAGTGGCTTTAAAAGTGTAGAATTTAGATCAATTATGAGTTGGTTAATTTACTATTCATCTCAAACTTTTTGTTTAGGACGTGGAACAACCTACTGTGGCTGAAACATCTGAGGCTGAGATCCCTAGGACCGCAGAGGAGCCTCCTGAGGGATCCAAACTCACAGAGATAGAGGTGTTAGTCCACCTGATCATTCTGTCTGATTTTTAGGTTTTAAAGCTGCAGTTTTAAAAACTCTGCTGATTGGTCAGGTCCTTATAATGTATCTGATTTTTTTATTTTGATGGTCAGTTAAGCTGTGTGTCTGCTTTAAGGCTCCCTTGGGTTGATTTTGAGTTGTGGAGTCCAGTCAGGTTGGTATTTAAGATGTCTGACAAACACACTTGTCAGGTTTACAGTGTTTGTGGGGTCCACGTAAAGTCAGATACAATGTTGACATTAATGAGAGATAAAAAAGGTTTTTTTTTCTTATTGTGTGAAATAAACATTATATGCAGTTTATCTGTTCACTATGTGATGATCTTAGAACCCACCGGTCACTCCAGCTGTTTGACAAGGAGACTTAAGTCTCTTCCAGTCCTTTCTATTCTCCATCATTCACTCTGTGGTTTAAAGAAGACATCAGTTGACAAAAAATAGCAGTAAGTACTAGTGGTGCAACGGATCACAAAACTCACGGATTGGATCGTTCCTCGGATCAAGAGTCATGGATCAGATCATTTTTTGGATCAGCAAAAAGCAACAAAAAAAAAAAAAAAACAAGACAAACACAAGTTTTGTCTGTTTATTAAACACTTAAATGATTAAATTAAATATATAAAAGTAGTGCACAAGGCATAATATCTTCTTTCTAGCATAATTATTAATGAAAAACAACTTGAAGTGCAATATATAGGCATATCTCCTTCCTTTAAAATGTAACAATGAACCAAAAATGAAGTATGTGAGCGACGGGATGTCTTAACGTGGCTCAAGGACTTTTAGCATGTTTTTAACATGTTTTGCACAACTGAATATGGCCTCATGTCTGTAGCTATAAACACACCGATAGCGTTTGTGATAGCTTTAGCCCTGTCGGATTGCACAAGGAAGAGGCTGCTTAAATGCTGTGGTGAAGTTGTTGGCCAGCTTTCGTTTTATCGCCAGTCAGTAAAACACCCGGGTGATGTCGCTTCAAATGCGTGAACATGCTCGATGTGTTCCCACTGTCATTTCGCTTTCTTATGCCACAGTGCCTACACACCGTCGCAGTTTTGTCCACTGACCTCTTTCCTTCTTCATCATAGTTGACAGGGATGCCAAAATGCTCCCATACAAGGGATGTAAGTGTCGCGGGGCGTTCAAGCTCCTCCTTTCCTCAACTCGCCATGTCTGCCCTCCTCCTTTCTTCGCTTACAATAAGCTGTGTGTGGACGGAGCACAACTTTTTTTTTTTCAGAAATAAATCCGCGGGTCACATTTGTGCCAAACCAATGACGTCAATCCGAACGGATCATGGATCAATGATGATCTGTTGCACCACTAGTAAGTACAAATGGATTTGTTTAGATGAGGTGATTTAGCATGAGCTGCAGTGAGTGGATTCATCAGGTTAATAGACTGTTATGTATATTTGATGTGCTAGAAGCCTTTAATGTACAGAAATTTGATCAATAATAAGTTAGTTTATTTACTATTCATCTCAAACTTGTTGTTTAGGACATGGAACCACCTACTGTGGCTGAAACATCTGAGGCTGAGATCTCCAGTACCGCAGAGGAGCCTCCTGAGGGATCTACACTCACAGAGATAAAGGTATTTATTCCAGCTGACCATCCTGTCTGGTCTTGTGGTGTTAAAGCTGCAGTTTTCCTCACCAATGCATACATTTCAGTAAAAAGGGCTACCATCTGGTCTTAATTAGCTTTGAGTATAGGCCTTTTTTTCGTACCTTGATGAGATGCTTCATTATTTCATTTTGTCTTTATTTTCTCTAGGACTCAGATGCAGCTTGTCCTCTTCCCTCAGTGAAAAAATATGGGCTGAATCTTCCTCTAGTAAACTACACAGATTCTGATGAACCCCAGAGTCCATCCTCAAATCCTGAATCTGAACATTGCCTCTCAGAGCAGGACCATATTTCTGTCCCCAGGCTCAGGAGGACCAAAAGTATACTGGTAAACAACACACACACACAGTGCAGTGAATGTATTAAAAGTCAATTGCAGACATTTCATTGGTCTTGTGCCTACTGTCTATCATATTTTTATTGCTTTCTTTAGATGAAAAACCAGATTCACTTTGATTCAGAAGAGCTTTATGACACCACCTCAGCTGACAGTGAAGAGGAATACATTCCTAAGACAAGTGAGGACTCTGATGATTCCGGCAGAAGTGAAGTCCTGGAAGTTGAGGACCCTCTCTTCAAGATAAAAGATGTCATCAAAGATTTTCCTCCCTTAACCCAAAGATCTGAAGCCTCTTCACAGCAGGTTGTTACAAGAGGGCGTTCACCTGTTAGGAGAAGTAGCTCTGGTCTGATGCATAAAAGGCAATGCTACAGAAGTGTGGTTCATCATTCAACACTAGTCAGCCATGCTGACTCATCTAACCAGAGTTTTGTAGCAGACGCTGATGCCCTCTCCCAAAACTCAGTGGTGAATTTAGACCAGGACCAGGACGAATGTCTTCCTGACAGTTCCTCTTCCATTCTTACAAATGATAATGAGTCTGGTGGTCCACTTTCCATACCCGCTGTCTGCAAAAAAGAGAATGGGTCAAGACTTTATAACAAGAAGCAGTACTGTTTGTACTGCAAATTGGGTGTTATAAAAATTGCAAGACATTTAGAGCGAGCACATATAGATAAGTCAGAGGTTGCACAGGCTTTTGCCTTCAAAAAAGGCTCCAAAGAAAGACGAATGCATCTGGAACTTTTGAGAAACAGGGGCAACTTTTCACACAATGTAGAGGTACTACACTCTGGGGTCGGTAACCTTGTTCCCCGCAAGCAGCCGAGGCAGGATTCCAGTGCACAGGATTTCCTACACTGTGCATATTGTCAAGGCTTTTTTGCCAGAAAGCTGCTTTGGCGGCACATGCAAATTTGCAAGCTTAGGCCTTCTGTACCACACAAACCAGGTAAAACCCGTGTCCAGGCCCTTTGTGCATTTACTACACCTCCTCCACCTGGCGTCAAACAGGACTTGTGGAAACTCTTAAACAACATGCTCCAAGATGAGGTTTTTTCAGCAGTTAAATCTGATGCCTGTATTCTGGAGTACGGGGACCATCTATACAACAGACTGGGACATGATCCTGGAAAACATGAATATATCCGCCAGAAGTTAAGAGAGCTTGGAAGACTTCTGCTGTGCTCCAGAAAAAACACTTCCATGAAGACCATTCGAGACCACATCAGACCATCCAACTTCATGCAAGTTATTCAGGCTGTAAAAGAGGTGGCAGGTTTTGATAGTGCAACCAACACTTACAAGTGTCCAAGTCTGGCCCTCAAAATTGGACATAGCCTGACAAAGGTATCAATGCTTGTAGAAAGTCGTGCAAATGTACAAAACAATTACAGTGCTGCTAAAGATGCACGTACATTTCGCAGAGTGTACGAAACTCGCTGGAATGAAATGGTTTCGGCTGCATCACTGAGGACACTGCAGGAGGCCAGGTGGAACACCCCTCTGCTGCTTCCTTTCACAAAGGATGTCCAAACTCTCCACTCCTATTTGGATGAGAAACAGCAACATTACAGCTCAAAACTATCCACTGAGACATCCCCGCAAACATGGTCACAGCTGACCAAGGTCACGTTGACTCAAGTCATCCTTTTTAATCGTCGAAGAGCTGGGGAGGTGTCAAAAATGCCCATGACAGCATATTTGTCTAACAGTACATCAGATCCTCAAGATGATGTGATTGATGCCCTGTCACCTGTTGAGAAGAAACTCTGCCAACACTTCAGACGGATCGAGATCAGGGGAAAAAGAGGAAGAAAGGTTCCCGTTCTTCTGACCCCGGCAATGCAGCATGCATTGGATTTACTTACCAGCAAACGGCAGGAATGTGGGGTTCCTAAAGAGAACAGGTATCTTTTTGCTAGACCATCTGCCTTTACATGCCTCCGTGGTTCTGACTGCCTTCGACATTTTGCAAAGATCTGTGGTGCAAAAAGTCCCGAAAGTCTCACCTCCACAAAGCTTCGCAAACAAACAGGAACTCTTTCACAAGTTCTCAACCTCAGCAACACAGAGTTGGACCAGTTGGCTGATTTTCTCGGCCATGACATACGAGTACATAGGCAGTTCTATAGGCTTCCTGAGGGCACCCTCCAGCTTGCTAAAATAAGCAAAGTTCTATTGGCTCTGGAGAAAGGACGCCTGGGAGAATTCAAGGGAAAGACCTTGGATGACATCAACATTGACCCGGAGGGTACTATTTATCTATCTCTCTTGTCTCCTTTTGAAGGAAATGCACTTTTTGTAATTATGTTTTCTGGGAATTTTTCACCATGTCAGAAACAAATGATCTTGAATAACACTCATTCCCCCTCACCCCTATACAGAGAATGTGCACCCTGACAGCGATCCTGACGAGGCATGCGAGTCGGGCTCTGAAGGTTGGTATTTACATACAATTTTATATGTGACCACTGCTGCATATTTGTAGACATCCATGTGCAATATCAGTTTACAGAATCCATTTGGAGCCTGCTTTTGTCTGTCAACAACTGGTCATAAAATGTTTTTGTTAACTTTAAAGCTCATCGGTCTTGATGTTCATTTGCAACATCAGAGAGGTGACTATGTAATGTCTGTAACGGCTTCATTTTAATCCCTGCACCAAGTTTAGTTTGAGCTTTTAGATTGCTGTTATAAGCACTTGCATGTCAAGCACAAGCATGGTGTTAGAGGTGTTGGGGGGCAATAGGGTAGGTTGATTTACCTCTTTTAGGTTAGGATATAACCAGGGTGGTGTATCCACAGATATCATAATCACAAGATGCCACACAACCCCAGGATGCTCCAAGACCACCGCCATCTTGGAGCAGTACTTGTTAATGGTTTTCAGTCAATTGTAGTTTTTGAGGCCTGTGATTCACCTTACAACAGCATTTGTTCACGTTCAAAAAAAGAGGGATCAAGTTAGGTTTGGTGATTTACTTAATTGCAATATCACCTCAAAATGTGCTTAATGGCACAGAAAAACAATACTAAGTATTTATCAACTCCATCAACTGTATTTATGTCACAGGCTTGAAACTACAACACTACTCAGCACTATATCGCTGTGTCAAAGAGCTCGTTAAGAGTTATTGAGTTAATATTTTTTTCAGTTTATGTGAATTGAAATAGTTTATGATCTAATTTCAGATAAGAGTTACAGAGAATCATTTTGCACATGTATTTTACAAGTATTTAGATTTATAGTTTAACCCTTCTTATCAGCATGGAGGATCAATACTGCAGTCAGTCAGCAGAGATCTTGAAATGTTTGTGAGTTGGGGAGAGCACTGTTATGCTACAGTCTGTAGTCATTAGACTTCCAATATGTCTGTGGGGTTTGTTAACCTGTACCTCATAGTGAAGAGCTTCAAATTATGACCAACATGTATAAAGTCAACCTTTATGCTAACATTTTAAAGTTAATGGATGAAAGTAATTATAACTCAGTTTTACACTTGACTTCATAACATCAAGTGACAAGAAGTGCCTTACTTCCTGTGAATTCAGTTTAGAGGTCCTTCAAAAGAAAAGCATTTCCTGTTAACCAGATAATCCCAAATCTTTCAATTTAGCAGGTAAGTTGACAAATACCCCCCTAAATAATGTAAATAATGTATTTTAACATGTCATTAGGAACTTACTAAACTAAATTTTACTAGAAAAAATATTTAAGGAAACAATTTTCATCATCCTGTATACAAATTTTTAATGTATCAACATATATACTTATCCTTTTTAACATGAGAAACTTGATCAACTTTAGGAGATTCTTGGTTACAAATATTAGATCAAAAAACTTTAACATAAAGGGGTTGAATGGCTTGTGTCACGTGTGCTTCACAATCAGTTAGAGCATGACCACAGTCACAATATCCAACTGGTTTTTCACCTATTGCACAAACGAGCTAGTGAGCTGTGGTGGATACAGTCTATATTCTTCTGCTCTGTTGTAGGGAGTAAGTTAACATCTAGTCAGAGGGAAGAGGATGCACCATCTGATGTGAACCATGATGATGCATCACCACAGCAGAGCACCACCGCACCTCAAAACACCAAACAACAGGGGTCACCAAAAACGGAAAGAGGCAAGTTCTCTGAGACCGGTCTGAAATCAGATTAGTTTATGGTGTGGTTGTAAATGTGTTTTCTTGGCATGTGCTGAAATGTGGATTGCAGACACACATTTGTGATTAAGATTTTTTTTTGGGAGGGGGAAGTTTCTGAGTTCTCATTCACCTATGTTACTTAAATTGCTTCTAAATCACTCCATGGTTAAAAAACAGAATTGATTATGTTTTTGTTTATTTACAGCTCGGCAGCCTGTTAAAAAGAGGCCTTGGGAAAGAGAGGAGATCCTGGCCGTTGAGAAACACATGATGTCCTTCATCACCACATGCCGTGTTCCAGGGAAACGCGACTGCGATAAGTGCATTGAACAAGAGAAAGAAGCGCTCAAAAACAGGAATTGGTTGGCTATTAAATTCTATATCAAAAACCGAATCACAGCTCTGAAGAGGAAAGTTTAGAGGGATCAGGTGTTGTCTGTTGACAGCTGTAGGAGGGTTGCATCACTTTTACTGTCCTCAAGGTAAAGCATGTTCTCTGGTTTATACCATTAACTTGTTAGTGTTTCCTTAGTGGTCGTATCATATCCATCATTTCTCAATTCAGCAATCTACCTCCTTATTTTAATTTATATTTGGATGCTTAGAGTTACTGTAGGTTGGGCTTCAGAGCTGTGTCATACAGTAACAGATTTGTCTACCTGTAAAGGGAGTTTAATGAAGAGTTTTGACTCTATTTATTTTTGTTATAAGCTGCCAATAACTGCACAGACACACTGTACCAGTTTTAAAAGAGGAGGGTGTTTTCTTTTGTTTTTGAAAGAATGTTAGTTTGTGGTTCCTTAGTTGAACAAATTTTGTTTATCCAGCATCTTCAAAAAATTTGAATAAAAACTTTCAGCTTTTAAATTCATCCACTGTTTCAGGTCTAATCATGTGAACAGTATAAAAAATCCTTTACATAGATATATCTTTCTTATGTAGCCACATGCATATTAACACATAAGACACAAGACAGCTGTTGACTTCTGTCACTATTCAATTTAATTATTTGTACAATTTACCCTAAAACACAAAACATCATCCTTATCAAAACTATAAAATCAGCCCATCTGTGCTGTGTTAAAAATTAGAGTTCAGACAAGAGAAAGGGGAGAACTTTCTGGCTGAAGAAAACATCAGATGGTGCACTTCTAAGAAAGACACATCCTGTGAACATTGAAGGTATATCAGGTCAGGTTTGAGAGTAGATCTAGAGACTGATGCACTTATAATACCTTGAATATAAGCTGGTGATACTGATAAGAAATGTAATTGTCGAGATTGGTTCTCATCACTGTCCTGCACTGACAAGTGTGGAGTGGTCCCACAAAGTCTGTTTGATCTGATGTTTGTGTAAGTGGTACCCAGGAGGAGAGAAAAACCGGGCAGTGTGTAGATACTGACCCCAGATGTGGCCAAATACCAGACAGGTTCCCAGATGTCTGTGCCTAGTCTGGTCAGGGACCTCTACTTTGTCTAATTGGTAATTTGAAGTGATTTCTCTGTTTACCTACATGTCAGGATACTGCCTGATTTTTCTCAGTGCTGTACAACCTTCAGAAAGGTTGGTTCCCACAATGCATGGTCTGCTCATGTGTCCTGACCATAGCACAAAGACAAGGATGTGTGTGTGTGTGTGTGTGTGTGTATGAGTGTGTTTGCATGCTTGGATAATTGAATTCCCAATAAAAATGTTAGCAAGGTGTGAGTGTGTGTGTATGTGTGTGTGCTCGTATCTGCTTTGGTGCCTCATACGTCTTTATTTTACTCTCATAATTAACAATCCAGTTTCATAGACGCTCATCCTCTGTGACAAATGAGGTCTGTGTTGGCCATGACCTAACCAAGGTCTGTTGTCTGTTTTAATGCTCCGGGGAGAGGAGCTGAGAAATGGGACAGGAGAAGGAGAAGGATGTGTGTGTGTGTGTGTGTCTGACCTGTGCGCATTATTAAGACCAGGATTCATGTTTTAGTGAAGTCACACTGAGGGAAAAAAAAAAAGACTTGGCTTTGATTCAGAGGACACTCAGTAGAAGTAAGAGGCTCAGATGCTGGTGGCATCGTCACCTCCCTGTTTAATCTTCTCCTGATGGTAAACCGAAGGTCTACAGTACATGATGTGACCGAAACAAAAAAAATCCAGCTTTTACAACGGGCAGTTTGAGCTCCTGCGAGATTTCATTTAATCACATCTTTTCATCTTTCTCCGTCTCCTAAAGCAGACGCCAATTTACCCAAGCTGTGGTTTGCAAACAGATCCACAGCCGAGGTTTGTTTGAGGTTTCGCCCAAAAATTCAGAAACTCCTTCTCTTACCTGATGAGAAGTTAAATTTCGCTGCTTTTCTTTTCCCTTTTGATCACCTGTTTTTGCATCCCAGTGATAGCAAATAGATGAGTTTGCTCGTGTTTGAAGTCACAATGCAACACCTCCAAACCGAGACAGGTCTGTGTTCTACTTAGCTATGCCTGACTGAGTTTGTGCGCGCCGCTCCAGCACTAATGAAACTCCGAAGATTGATCTAATGATGAAAAGGAAATGTAAGAGTGACAACTGTTGAGGCACGGCGATGAGGAGATAACAGGACGCATTTCTCTCCCCCGTTGAGAAACATGTCAGGGCCTGTAATGAGTCTTCCTGTCTCATATGAAATGAAAGCGTGCCATTATCACGACTCCATCATTCTCACATTACAAGCGAAATTACAGGGTGCACCGACAGAGAGAGCGGGGGAAAGCTACGGACATGAAATCATCATAAGAATACCTTCCAATTTCCAGAAATATTGTCTCCTCTGCGTGTGTATTCCATAGGATCTGAAAGCGGGGGAAAAGGATATGATGAATTAAACCTCCATTTATTCTGAGCCAGAATCATTTCAAGGCGAGCTTTTTTTCCATGTGCCAATAAAAAATCCATTATTAACAGCAAAACTTTTGTGTTTGCTCCTGGACAAAAAAAAAAAAAAAAGATCAAGAGGAGGATGAAACGTTTCCTTGTGTAATTACCAGAAAATTCAAACTGTGCTTCACTAAAAATAGACATGAGAAAAGTACCAGATGTGGATAATTTTTCTGACAGGACTGGCTAAAAACGGAGGGAAATTTGTTGGGTTGGACATTGTTTAGCTCTTACCCCTGGCTGACTCGCCATGGTCACCACATCACGGACGTCAATATGAATTTTATGAAAGCGGCGTCGAACTCGCCGGCTTTGATCTCAGCCGCGCTTTATTTAGCTTATGATGATGAACCTACAAGAAACTCATCAGCGCGCGCAGAATGAGCGGCTATAATTGTCTTTACAAGGTCACAGAGTGATCTTTTTTAATTTGAAGGCATTGTTAATTTCTTACAGCTAATATCATTGGACAAACTAATATCATTGGACAAAGACAGAAGATTGGCTCGCCCTCAGGGGGGGCTTGTTCCTTTCATGGTCTTCAGTGTAGAGCGGGAAAAAAAAAATAAAACACAGAACAGTGTTGGAAAGAAAAGAGAGAAGTGAGGATGGTGACGCATACTGTGAAAAACTCGGATTAAGACCGGACGAGAATACACACACATAAATACTCATGATACACTGTCCTCTAGCTGTTTAAGTTTTGGGGAATTAAAAAGTAAAAACTGAGAGTGGAGGTGCTCGCAGGAGGGAAAGGTTGAGACCCTCGCCCTGAAAAACCTGCTGACCTAATATGACATTCAACCTCTTGTTCTCCTCCTCTGTCTCGCTCCATGTTTTTCTGCTGCCTCAGTGAAAAACACTAGAGTTGTAGACCTCCCTGCTGACCCTTCCAAAAAAAAAAAAAAGCAAAAAGGAAAAGGGATTAACCCAGTGTGTTTTAGGGCTTTGGGGATGGAGCCAAAAAAACGGCTAGAGTGTTCACACTCCAGAGAAGTAGCCCAACTACTGTGCAGTACACGGGAAGCTATCAATCACCGCGTTTAGTCGGAGCGTTTGTGTGTGGAGGTGTGTGTAAGCACAGCACCTCGCTTTATCGACTGGTTATAAACCAATCAAAGATTCTGTGATGCAACCAGGAGACAAGCTGAACCTGTGAATCTCTTATCAAGTCCACATCTACCTTGGTACACGGCGGCGCAGCTCAGGGTGGCGATGCATCACTTGTTCTGCTGGCGATATTTTTGGCAGGCTATTGCGTCTGTGTTTGTGTCACCAAGTGCTCAGATGTTCTCTGAATAAGCATGCAAAAAAAAATTAGACTCTGCATCCCAGACAGTGATGTGGTTTGGAGGCTACATCTCTCTCTGCAGGCCCGGCTTCACTTTGTAGCATCTCACAGCAGACTGAAATGGAAGATGAAAGGCGCCGAGGCTGAAGGCTTCAGGAGCAGAGATGATGCTGTTTAATCAGGTCCTTCGTTCTTCCTCTCCTTCCCCTGCTGTGATGAGCGCCGGGCTTTAATTCAGCTGCTCCTGTCTGCTCTGGCATTCGTCTGTTGCCATGGCAAAGCTGCACTTATTCTCATTCCAGTGGCATTCTGCTGATCCTGTGCCCAGCAAACACCCAAAGACGCTCACACATCCACAGGCAGCCGCAAACACGAGTCCTTGAGGCAGCTGAGTTACAAATATTCACGACACACAATCGTATATACATACACACCATACAAGCAGACACATATTAACACACACACACACACACTCGCACAGAGCCTATTCACACATCTACTGTTTATCATGTGCAAGCATGAAGAATTTTAAGCCTCCAGCTTCACTGACTTGAATGCAAATTTTTGCTCCAGCCATCTGTCAGCTAACAGCTCTCTGTGTTGGGCTGCATGTGTAATTTGGACTCTCGCAGGCCAATATGGCATCTCGTCAGATCATATATCTCACACAAGGTATGCTTATCAATGTGTATCTCAGACTTAACAGCCCTATGGGAGGAAAGAGCTCCAGGTTTCTAGCGTCGGCTTCGGAGAAACGGGGAGAATAGGGTGGGGAAGAGTAATGGTGGATGCTAATCAAACCAGAAGGTGAGATGAAGGTTTGTTTTGCAACTTTGTAGGTATGTGCCGCCTATTCGGAGACATTAAACAAAGGTAAAGAGAGCACAGAGAGAGCATTTTGAAGAATGAGATAAGAGAGAGAGGAGCGATGTGGGTAAAGTTAAATAAAGGTGAGCTCAATCTTCCTCAATCTATAACTTACAAGACAAAATTATTTCCATTGTTGGACTTAAATGCATTTATTGAATTCTGTCTTATTACAGCAGTCACTAGCCCAGGGGTCGGCAACCTTAAACACTCAAAGAGCCACTTGGACCAGTTTCCCACAGAAAAGAAAACACAGGGAGCCGCAAAACCTCTTTGACATCTAAAATGAAGATAACATTGCATATATCTTTTTTTTTTTACCTTTATACAAAGTATATAAAAAACTGTAGCGAGTTGCATTTATGAAATAAATGAACTATTTCGGCGAGTGTCTGTCTTCTTCTGTAGTTAAACCGCAAGATATCAAAATCTACCCGGATACAGCAATGCTGCTTTTTGATTGGCTGTTCAGTAGATATAATTTATTTGATTGGCTTGTGCGTGGCACGCAGCTTCTGAACTCTCGGAGGAACTCAGTTGATTTCCCCCAGTTCCATAGTTGAAGAAGTGCAACTTGGTGGACATCACCGTGTTCATTTAAATGCGTGAGAAATACAATGTGTGGTGTGTGAGCGTGTGAACGAGTGGGAATGCGTGTGTCATACGCTGAATGCTTGAGACTTGAGAGCCCTGTGCTCACGCATCATCGATGTACTCCCGAGCCATGCAAAACGGTCTTTGCAAATGTTGCACTGAACGCCTTCCTTTTCA